ATATATATTATATATATATATGCACTTAGTACGTGTGTGCATATCTATACATGGGACTGTAGATCTATGCGTGCGTATGATCTACACTAAATAAGACTATAAACCCCAGGCCCCAAGGGTATATTAAACCACTCAATGAAACCCTGCAGGATTAATAATATTCATGCAGAGTATATAATATTAGATTAATATTATAGTACGTATATTCATCTGTATATATATATATATATGTTAACTTATATGGTTTTTGTACATGTGTATATATATAGTACGTTTATCTCAGACATATATATATATATATATCTACGTACTCCCGCGACAGGGGTTGAATTGCTGGCCCTCGTGCTGCGTAGAATCCACGGATGCCTAGGTCTCAGTGCATCTTGAAGCTCGCCTCTGAAAATGGTCGGTCTGTGTATGTGTGTGTTTGTCTGCTGGATTGCTGATCTATATGTCATGCAAACACTTCATGTCCTGTGCCTGCAGGATGAACAGATACTTCAAGTGGAAGAAGCGCGGGCCCAATGCCTCGGAGGCACTCCAGAAGATCTGGGACGGTGGAAATGGCCGACCCTTGACAGCTGCATGTTATGTTGTGAGTCTCACACATGCACGAATTCACGTGTAACATGCCAACCAACTCCATATGCATGCTCAGGGAAGGAGGTGCACGAGATGCTGAAAAAACACCATGGGGACTTTGCCAAGATAGAGCTGCATCTGAAGAGAACCAGTGAGAAGGAGAAGACCGCTGCCCTGGGCGGAGGCTACGTGAACGAGTCCATTCTGAAAAGCATTCACGGCTGGGACGAGTCCGCACGGCTAATTACATGTATCAAGTGCTTAGCATGCCTCATGCCTCGGACTAGGGTCAAATTTATGCGCTGAGGCAGATGATCAGTTTTTCGAAGGCTCGGGCTGAAGCCCGAGGACTTCTTCGCAAGTCCGCCGAGCATGGTGCGGACGAGTGGAAGGCCGTGCTGGAGGAGAAGTTTGAGATGAAGAAGACGGACAGGACCACGACCGAGGCTACCTACGATGCGGATCTGAAGGCGCGAGCTGGTCGATATATATATATATATATATCTCTCTCTCTCTCTCTCTCTATATATATATATATAGATCTACATCGAGCATCCAATAATCAGAGCCATGG